GGGGGGGGGGGGGGGGGGGGGGGGGGGGGGGGGGGGTGTTTCGGTGACAGCAGTATCGCTCCACCTGAAAAAGTGAAAGCAACAACACCATGTGCATGCAGTTGCTAAGGAACTGCGTTTCTATCTGATCCCACTTCGCGAAAGGGAAAATCTTCCGTGTGGCACAACTCTCCACTGTTCAAGTGCGGCCGCTGCTGTGCCCCCCGCTGTTCGCCCAGAGTCTCCTTGCTCTCAAAGCCCGGAAGGTACCGCAGGTGCAAATGCCCTCTCCCTACCCCATCAACAAGCGCGTCAGGCCAAATTATGCCACCGGACACCAAACACCCGACATGACAATCCCTGATGATCAACATCACCTCGTAACAGGTCAAATTGCGTAAATATTTCAGCACACAATGAAGGTAGTCGAAGTCTCACCTGAGAGAACACTGTCGCCGGCAGCTGGTTTGGGTCACCCACTAGGACGCAGTGCCTGCACCCTAGCCTGAATGTTTGTATAAGAGTAAAAACAAAATAAAGCAGCCCCATTTCAAAATGTGACTGGGTTCTCTTCGGTGTGACGTCAAAGAAAGACACAAGTGTGGGAACATTTTTCTGTGAAGTCAAGGAGGAAGCAAGCCCATTTTGGTGCAGACCTAAGGCGGGTCAGGCGTCACAAGAAGAAAAAGTGTGACGCCACATGTGCTTACCGTCAAGACCGAACGATATCTTCGTGAACTTCTTCGTCAGTGTGTCGCCCCAAAAGACTCACGTGGCACTCACTACGCGTGCTCGCTTTGAACTTCGGTCGAACTTCAAGGCAGCACGTTTTATGTACTCGACAAACAACTCGAGATAAATCAGTGTAGGTCGCCCCGGTGGTCTAGTGACATTGTTAACACCGCTATCATAGTCGCAAAGGTCGTGAGTTCGGATCCCCATGGGGTGGAAAATTGGAGTACAACATTTGCGGGTGAAAGCCGACAACAGCTGAAAGAGCTCTCGTGAGTACCAAACTTGGATGTGAGCACCGCAGACGAGAGAAAGGGGCGACTGGACACTTCTCGCGAAAAAAAAATAATCAGCACGCACCGCAAGAAGGTGGGGCACTCAAACAAAAAAAAAGAAAAAAAAAACTCCCTCCTGTGTGACCCTGGATGGTTGTAGTTGTACGCAAAAATAGACTGAACAGTGTATTACTCTACAAATACTGACGTGTACACGTCTCACAACGAACAACGGGGGAACTGTCGCCATAATAAATAGGACGAAAACACACACAACACACATCTTCCATTCCAGAAAACAAGTACTTTGAGCAAAGAAATAACGCCCGATTACCGGAGGGGGATGATTGTGGAGACCTCCACCGATTGCGCGGCCTCATCCACCACCAGTACCTCGAACGGAGATGTCTGGTCCATGCACGGTAGCCCTGAAGAGTTGAGCGTGCTGAACACCAGGTGGGCCTCGTCCTGGCAAAACAAACACGGGAAAAAAAACGACAAAACAACCAAAAACGTTATTCTCATGCAAGACAGCATCCCATAACTCAAACACGGGGCAAGCAAAACTCATCCTCATCCGAGACTGGTATGTCACAACTCGCGGCATCCCGTCACACGAGAAGCACAAGACACCATCCCCGCCCGGCGTCAGGCGGAGCGTAGAGGTTGCTATACGGGAGAGCTTGGTGAGCATAGCGGCATCGCGAACTTTCCGCCGATCAAAGCACCACCTCGTAGGGACACGCGCGACAAAGTCATACCGGTACGAGAGTAGAGCAGGGAACAGAGACGTCAAACACGAGTCCCGAGGATGGAATTCTAGTTCACCATCACCATGCTCATCCTCGTGTTCGTGTTCATCTCCACGTGTACCGTACATCCTTGTGCCTTCATCGAATGAGCCCAACTTACCGATCACGAGATTCGTTCACTCTTAGACAGCAGGTCAAGGGCTTTCTAAAAGGCCCAGCAGCCATTGCCATATATCACTCCCCGCCCCCACCCGCCGTTTCGTCGCGGAACGGCTCAGCGAGTCCTACCGCCCTCCCCTTCTGTTGGGCAAACGCAAGTGGTAAAGATGACCATCCAGAACTTACTGTTCTGGCTGCGCTCGAGTCCTCGCTTAAGTCAGCACCAGTAACGTTTCTCCGTCCAATGATCCCATGCTCTACCCACTCCGATCCCGTTCCATATACACCATTCCGTCCGGTCAACGCCCCGTCATCCCATCCCAAATACCGGCGAAACCACTGTTGGTGGTGTCACTCACCAGAAGGGTGACTTCCAGGCTTTGCCGCACCGAGTGCTCCCGTGTTTCCGTCTTGGCTCGGGCAGCAAACCTGCCGTACACAGCAAGCCAAACAGTGAATCGAGTGAAACAAGGATGGCCACTGGGCGAAAGTGCGACAACCAAGACCGGCACAGCGAGCCAGGGACTATCGAGTGCATCAAGGATTGAAAAGGGGAGAAATTTCCACAGCAGAGAGCAAGCCAGGGAGTAAATCGAGGATGGTCGAGCGAAAGTTAAAACCACAACCCCAACATGCAAAGCAACCCGCGGAGCGAATGGAGTGCATCAAGGATTGTGAAAGGGACAGAGTACCACAACGTAGATAGCAAGCCTCGGAGAAAGCCCTCCACAGGCAGCGATAGCGTTCCACGGAGTTGAAACGTACCTCTAGTATTGAATACGAGTCCAAGTTAAGGAAAAAGTTGTTATGAAATTACAGTGCTGTGGAATGACCTAAGTCAGCAACACATCCCCCGCTGTGGGAAAAAAAAAACAGGCTCAACAAGGCAACTCATGTGTATTGGACTGCACGTGCTTTGAGTGGGGCAGGCTTTGGTGTCGCGTAGCAGATGGTTGCTGAGGGCAAGGGCAAGGGGCGTGGCTTTGGCATGCGTGGGGCATGGTCGTGCAACAGTTTTGGAGAGTGCGGGTTACGGGTGTAGTTGGCACTGTACTGTCTGTACTCACGTGAGGCGTTTGTGTTCCTTGTTGAGCCGCTCGTACTCCTCGAGATCTCTCGTCAGGTGAAACGCGTACGTCTAACGTTCGACAAGTGGCAAGAAACGACAGAAAACGCACGGGTGGAAGGCATCAGCCACGGCACGAGCGCGCGCTCTTGAGCATGTTCATCGTCTGCCCCGAGTGCTGAACAACGTATCATCCAGACACCCCCGACACAGAGAATGACGTCACGTTTCAATCGCTGACGCCTGCCGTACGCGTAGGCATAAGACGAGAAAAATAAAAACAATCAAATTCGCTGCCGGGGTTTCTGTGCCGACCGACGAATATCACAGGATTAGGAAGCAAGGGCATCCCATGTTTCCGCGGCGCTCGTAAACCACACAGTACGCGCCAGGGTCGAATACAGAGAATCTTGCAAACTTGGCAAAAGTATCGAACGGTCAGTTGAGACGCCTCTACCGGCAGAGAATATATATCAGTAAGAGGGTTTCCCAACTTCTCACAAAGCGGCGGCGCGTACATCAGTCGGGCGTGATTTCCATCCCCTTGACCTACCAAGGGGCGGTGCAACGAGAGTCCGAGGCACAACTATCATCTCATTCGTCCTCTCTGCGGTGCTTACCGTGTATTCGGGCATGGATTCCACAGCCACGGTCTCGATGCCGCTATCGGGAGCAGGACGCTCGGGAGGCTGGAGGCTGGTCGTCTGCACGACGGTTTCGCGCGAAAAGGAACAAGGGGAAGTTGTGGCTTTCGACGGAGACATGGGCCCGATAACTTACAACAGCTCTGTACAGGGGGTGCGCAATGCGAAAATCTACGGGTTCACTCCGTGCGAAATTCATTCGGCCAATACAGCTCGTCGAGAGAGTTTGTGCTCGCCAGACATGGATTGGCCTTGCTTATCGCTTGGTCGGTCCGCGTGTGCGTAAGCGCAACACGAGGCGAAAACTCCAATCAACTCACAAACCGACCTAGGAATCAAACAACCACAATTCTCCATGACCACGATATACGAAACACAGGAAAGGATCGTCCCGTGCGACCTCTTCCTCCTGCCTGTGTGACCCCCGATGATGCACCCAGAAAACACGCCAAAAGGTGTCATGACTGATGACGACGTCTGCAATGAGGCAGAACAAAAAATGAAACATGAAGGAAAAGAACTCCGGTACAGGTCTACCGACTATCTCTGCCTCCGATAGGAATCTAGTTCTTACCTGATTGTCGTGGTTTACGAAGAAGGCCGTGAAGGTGTTGCGGTCCACCCTAGCCTCCCAACCTCGGGGAACCTCGTGCTCAACCCCCTGCACGACACGAGGTCATTCGACGTCACGTGGAACGATGGAAGAGGGTATTCATCGTATCTTGATCGGCGTCGGAACTCAAGAAAAATTCGGGTGGCGCCCGGTAGAAAGTCGAGGCGTTTGGCACTCGCGCTTCAAAACCGACAGTCCCGCCCGTGATCAAAGCGTGGTACTGAAGGAAACGCCAACCTTCCGCGAGACGAGACCAATCACTCAGAAAGAACCTTCCGAATGTGATTTAGACCATGTGCACACAAAACTGCACCACGACAAATATTACTGTAGAACACCCCAGCCATGGTCAAAATCTGAGGGTCAAACCATCACACCAACACAAAACAAACGCGGCCGCATTTGCTGTATGTATCAAGTTAATTCATTTCGCCATTTCCTACACTTCGGTTTTGGCGAAGAATTCTGGAGCATCTGCTCTAGGACATAGTCACAAACGACCGCAAAAATGCTTCGGTTGAACGAAAAAACACCAAGGACGAGGGACACGGAAAACACGTTTAGCTAGGGCGGCAACTCGGAAATGAAAAAACCCACCTTTATGAGAACCCTCAGCAGCTCGAGCGACCTGCCGATCATCTCGCGGAGCTCCATCATCCTCATGCTCACCCTCCCCAGACGATCGCTCAGTTCCTGCACCGTCTGTCCCAGCGCCGCTCTCACTTGCGACTGGAGGTGGACGGCTTGCACCCTGCCAGAGAGGGGCGACACAACGATTGACGTCACGTTTCGCCGGAACGGGAAGTCGTGTTTACTAGGTGTCCACTCGGATCAAGCTTCGTTTTGACAATTGGTGCCAGCTTGGACATAGCCACATGGGAAGAGCGTCGTGTTACGATGTGGAGCCTCTAGAACAGCTGTTCACATAGAGTTCGGCAGTGACTAGATACAGACTTCAAGTGAGAGGCCAAGCGTACAGCAGAACCCCTGTCCCCTATGCTGTCGAAATGCCTCCTTCGTAACCCGACCCGGCCACGGCTGTCCTTCGAGCAGGACTAGGTACCACCTTGGGGCGGCTTGGTCATACGGCTTGGCTGGGTAAGCGAGGGAAGGGGCAAGCGCCATGCATCATCACGTTCGGCACCTCACACGGCCATTTCTACTACATCACTCTTCTATTTTTGGCTGGGAGCTGGCGCTTGCAAACGTTGAGCTTCCACGTTGGTTTCGAACGGTCTCGGATTCTGAATTATGTATCTAATCGTGAATAACTTTCACAACATTGGAAGAGGAATCGTAGGCATGAAATCACTTTACAGCGCGAACAACATTGCAGGGTGGATGCACTCCGTAAACGTGTGGATGGTGGATCGGTCGCCTCTCCGATAGATCGACTGAACCAAGACAGGGTGATCGTAGACATACCTCGTTGATGAGCATTCCTCGTAGGTACCGGTATTGGCCGGTTTTCGCGACCTCGTGGGTTCAAGGAGCTTTCGAGCTTGTACCTTGGCCTACAGGGCGTGGCATAACATTCATGGTCGGCTGATGCATAGCTTCACTCGAGACAAAAGCTCGAACACAAATTGCGATGGAATGTCGTTTGCAAACGCGGGAGTATCAGTACCTGATCCATGGAATACTTTCACGTTACGAACGAGACATGGAACGGAACATGGTACTCACTGGCTGCCGATGTTGCCCGTCCCAACGCGAGCCATGGAAGGGTTGTACCGGTTCGTGTTGCCTGGAACAAAAGTAAACAATTTCATGACGAAAAAATGAATGCACATGGAGAGCGCGACAAAGAGAAAGGCCTGGATGAACGATAGTGACAAACAACATCTTCGTTGGTGATGGGATTTCTGTCGTACTTGGTTCAGCGCGTGGCCATGGACCTCTTCGTCGAGCTCTTAACGAAGCTACGGATTACAAACGAAAACGGCAATCCAATTGCATCCACCGCCAGCACCAACGGCACTGCAACACCACAACTACAACGACCCCATACATCGACGAGGATCGCCGGCAGGATATTGCTCAAAGGCAGACATGTTACAAGAACATCAAGACAGGAAATCAAACACGAAACCAACTCAAGGTGAAGGCACAAGGACACCGCGCTTCGCAAAACAAACCGTATTCAATGAGGATTGCAGGCATGGCCTTGTTCACGTGCAGGAACGCTAGAACAACACCGACACAAAGACGGCAAGTCAAACAAAAAATTATGGAAGATGAGGGCACAACGATAACGAAGACGCCTGGTGGGGCTAACCGTACCATCTAGAAACCCCTCTTCGAGGATGCGGGAAACGATGTTGTCCACTGCCACGTTTGAAGGAGCCGTCACCAAGATGTGCGGGGCAAAATTCTCTGGCAAAGCGACATACGGAATGGAACGAGATGGGATGAGATGAGATGCCATGGGATGAGCGTCACTGGGATCGGGTAGCACAGGGAAAAACGAGAAGTTCTGTGGCTTTAGGCAACACACGGTATGGGATGGGATGGGGTTCGCGAGGGAGGGGTGGCACCCAGAGCACGGGATGATATAGACAGGACCGGACGGGACGGGATTGACTGGGTTCGGAGACCACTCGGTGAGAGGGGCACGGTCGCCCGTGAGGAATACTTGCCTTTCCAAAACGTGTAAGTAGTGGTTGGTCTGGGGCTACGTCCTCTTGGGAAAGGAGGCCACAGGAAACACAACGGAACTCACATGAGCAAAATCACACCTCACTAAACAAACAACGGAATGAATCCATACCAACACAACAAATACTCAGCATAATTCGGGATGCACGAACCGGACATCCACAGAACCAAGAATCACCTTGAAACACATCGGTACACGCTCAATACTCACGGAAAGCACGAGGCACAAATCGGCATACCCCATCGTCACAAAAAAAAACACATGTTCGTCAGCACTGCCAATTTTCACTCCGGAACCAAGGGAGTGATCGATATCAGAGTGTACCCAAATTTCACTCAGAAAGCACAGAATACTAATCAAAGTAACCAAGAGTCATCACTAGGAAGCAACACACATCACAAACCCGAAACCCAATCAGAAAGCACAAAAATTTGCATCGAAACCAATCCGAAACCATAACTCACTCAGTCGCTCCCATGCGGCAGGAGTCTCTTCAGGAGACACCCTAGCGAGCTGTAGCAGCTTGTCATAGTACCGGTTATACTCGCGCTGATGAAGCGCGTTGAGAAGGGCCTTCAAGGTCGTCGTCTTGCCTGTTCCTGACTCGAAAAAGTAAATCACACACACACACACGCATACACACACACGGGCAAAACTGTGAGAGTAGCTTCAGCGGAGACTGCTGGGGTTTCATTGACTACAGCAGTTATGATAATATCGGTCGGAAGAACAGCAAGCCCGCCCACGCGAGTGTTGAGGTTGACTTTGATGATGTAGGTGTGACGGAAAAATGCATACTTTGGCGCTGTCGAATGTAGGCCAGTCATCAGTTATCACCTGGGGGACCCTTGATGAGCGTGAAGCCCTGGCTGTTAGCACCTTCTTCAATGGCCTTCTTCTGAGACCTGCCCAAACGAAACAAAAAGCGACAACCCTAACGTCAAAAACAGGGATAGCCCTGAATGGAGCTTTTTATGGGGGTCAAATCAATCGTCACCAAAACGGACCAGCAAATCAATCATTCTGTCTTGCTTTTTTGGTCTTTGAACCCGATCTTTTCCGTTTCCTCTTGACAGAAAGAACCAAAACAGCACGTCCAAGAAATGGTCCAGCAGGGTTGTCAACAAAACGATTTACAACCCGAAATTGTGTGCGCCCAAACGAAACAAAAAGCGACAACCCTAACGTCAATAACAGGGATAGCCCTGAATGGAGCTTTTTATGGGGGTCAAATCAATCGTCACCAAAACGGACCAGCAAATCAATCATTCTGTCTTGCTTTTTCGGTCTTTGAACCCGATCTTTTCCGTTTCCTCTTGACAGAAAGAACCAAAACAGCACGTCCAAGAAATGGTCCAGCAGGGTTGTCAACAAAACGATTTACAACCCGAAATTGTGGCGCCGTTGAGCAGTGCGGCAGCCGTGCTCTCGCAAAGCTTTGGGAATTCATCTCACGAGTTGAACTTGTTCTCGAGCCACTGGACGAAAGGCAGCCCGAGGTTGTCCACCAGGTTTCCCGTAGACTGAAATCGGCGCGCGGGGGGGGGGGGGGGG